TCCCTCTAAATAAATACCAATTCAGATTAATTTATTACTTCCATAAGGCTTCTTTTCTATTAAAAAAGGAACCTTAAAAATTAATCTAAAACTTTCCATAGATATGCTAATATTTTCTGTCATGAAAAGAAGTTTCTACACAATGTCCTATTTGTTATGCTTATTTTTGTCGGGTGTCATGGCGCCGAAACGTAATGGCGCGCAAGTGAGTTATGGCGGGAAAGAATCGTTGAGATGTAGCAAAAGAATATGGCTTACTCATATAACTGGATAGATACTGTTGCAAATAAACTAAATTTTTCTTGGAAGCGATATTTGATATAAAATACGGTCATATTGGTAAAGATCAATATGTACTTAAACCGTATTTTTGTGTTGTGTATATTACGCTTTCTTTAATAGTTTTATATTCGTTCATCGAAGTAAATAACAAAGAATATCTACCTTACTAGGTATTACTTTTTCGCCATAGGAATCTTTTTGGTTTGCTTTTTTAATAATAGGTAAGAAGCTTTTTTTTTCAGAAAACGTTACGTTACGTCGAACGACGTCGCGACGCGCACATAAATAAGAGTTCCGTTATGACTTGAAATTGGTTGAGCTATTCTCAGTTAATTCACGAGAGTAAGCCGTTATTTCTATTAATTTATTATATCTTTAAGTACTATTCTAAGCTAATAGGACAAAACAGGAACCGACATAAATACTAGAATAACGATGATAATGTTGGTACCTAAGTGCCCTCAGATAGTCCAATACACTTATTTGTGTCATCATTTATCGAAAATCTTCCTCCACTTTAACACTTTTATAATTTCACTATCTTTTAATGCCAAATCTTGAAACAATAGCAAGGCTATCTGTGAAGTCCTAGCTTCGCAGCTTTCAGATCACGACGATAAGCCTCAAGGGTCATCAGGAAGTCGTTTGTCTCTGTGTGTCAACTAAACTTTTTACATTAAACTCAAATGGTAACTACAAAACTTGTGACATTAGACGTTTAATTTCAACAGCCTGTTGTAAATGTGTTTTGTTTTAATAACTTGTCTTTATGAGTTGATGATTTATGTGACTAAATATCTTGTACTTGCGAGTAAGAACTTCATTTTGATTATAAATGACAGGTTATTGTAAAGTAATTTAAGTCGTCGTGGTGGATTAAGGTTAAGGCGCCCACTTTGAAAAGCAACATGAGGGTGCGGTTCCGAAGCCTGGCAAGTACCATTGTGACTTTTTCCGAGGTGTATGTACTTTCTATGATTATTTGGACACCACTGACACTCGGTCAAGGAAAACATCGTGAGGAAATCTGGACTTATAATTTCTAATTATAAGTTTGAAATCGCCAATCCGCCTTGAGCAAGCTTGGTGAGTAGGTAATGCGAAAACCTTCTTCGTGTGAGAAGAGGCCTCTGCTGAGCAGTGGGCACTTATAGGCCGATTATGTTATGAGTTGAATTGTAAAAAGTAAAGAACTGTTCTACAAAAAATATTCTAGATAATTAATTACTGGAGGGAACAAACTGAAAAACATTCTAAAATAATAATTAATACATCGTGACAGAAGGATAAATTACGTAAAATAAAACTAAGCAATGTTTTCTTGCGATAATTAATTCAGTTTAATTTAAAAAAATCCAGCTACCACGGTTGTAGAAGCTCAGCTCTATTAGCGCCCTTACCTCAATAAGCAGCTTACTTTCGCCACCCTTTAAAAAGTACGATGACAGAAGTCACCCGCTGTCAACGTCATAATAATTACGTGACGTAATTTGGTCGTAAAAAAGTAATTTAGTCGCTTGCTGAGAAGTTATGGCGAAGAAGGTTTATCATGTTTGTCTCTAACTATCTTAATTTATTTGTATGACTGTTGAAATTATTTATTTAGTGACAGTTTGTTATTTCTCATGTAGGTTAATTTACACTTTTAAGATTTGACTAAATAAGTAGCTATCTAGTTATTAACAGACTAAGGGAAAATATTTCCTGGCAACTATAAGCTTTCGTTGTCGTTGTCCATACATATTATTTTTTTTATAATGATTTTACTGGGATCTTAATCTATTTTTGTTCTGGTAGGTACTATTGTATATCATTTATTCAAATATTATACTCGTTAAAAATCACATAGGTGTGTTATTTTTAACGAGTTTTGTCAAAAACCAAAGCTCACCCAACTCCAATAAAAATATAATCCCAATATTTTATAATCCCAGCCAATAAAAATCCCACTTATCCCGGGATTTGTGTACCGGGCCCATCACTATGGGATATAAAGTTGTGTCGTAAAAAAGCAATTTGATCGTTCCCGCCTTCACCGACAGTGGAAGCTTGTGTAATTTATTGTTGCTCTGGAAAAACTTGATATTCGCGAGAACACTATTATTTATATTATATGTACCTATATACTAACGGTAGGTTCTTTTTTTCTCGCCCTCTTTCACCCTAACCACAGGCGTTAGAGTGTCCTCTTAGCAAAGTATTGTTAAGGACCATGTAGCTTTTTCTGCGTTTAATATGATACTTGAGATAATGTGACAGAAGAATATTTTACTTTTCAATTTTATTGAATAACAAAGCTTTTCGTTTTTCCCTCGTATAGGTAAAGATCAAAGAGTGATAAGGAATGTAATTAATGTATTTTTAGAAATTCTAACATCTTTATGGTTGTCCTTCTAAATTAGTTAGTTAATCAACTAATAAACTCTAACTAAATATAATAAACTTAGACAAAATATTCGACTAAATAAAGGTGCCTGTAACGTCAAATTAAAAAAAATACTACGTTTTTAACGGACAAACGCATTTAACTAAGACAAATTATAAGACTAAGAGAATTCGCATTTAATCTTAAACAAAAAAAGGACAACTACGACCTTTTCGAAAAAAAAGCATTCAACCTAAGACAAAATATTCGAATAAGGAAAGTGCCTGGAATCTTAAATTAAAAAAGAAAATACTACGTAAGTAGGTATCCTTTTCGAAAAAACAAATCTGTTCATTAAAGGCTCGCTTTTATGCCAATTTGTGGGTCACAACAAAAGTAAATAATGTACCACTGTCCCGCATAAATCACTTTCGGCAAACGACGCAGAGAAAATTTTGCCCGTTAGTGCCAAATACAAGTACCTTCTCATTGTAAATAATCATGGCAATCAAGAGCGTAAATCGCAACTACTGAGGGTTGTTAATGAATGTAACACGAGGGCGATGACCTATCGGGTAAATATGTAGTTCCTAGAGTACCTAACCAATTATTACGGCGATAGGACCTTGAGGAAAAGGATTCCATATATTTTAAACAGTTTGCCCGAGTTCATTAAAAATGAACCCAATAAAGTTAAATTAAAAAAAAATATTTGAAAACCCATCTACTGAAAAAGCTCCCTTAATTGGTTATAGATTGAACACTCCTAATTTAAGTTTTTTAGTTATAAGTAAAATTATAGTGATTTCACAGTCAAACTGTGAATACAGTTTTGTGGGACTATTTATATTTCATAAGTCCAATGTAATGTGTTTAATAAAAAAATAATAAAAAAATAATAAGACCAAGTTAGTAGTTTTATTAATCACTAAAGCAAGGCAAAATAACTAGAAAATGTAATGTGTAAACAGCAATCTCGTCCTAATCCGTATTCATTGCAAGTTAGTCCGGGATTGGCAAACACAATCCCGGGGCCGGAACTAGAGAATAACAATTTATTTATGTTGCAATCAACTTCCTTACGGGAACGGCGGCGGAGGAACACGCGCCGCACTATTTTCTCGAGTAATTTATGTGTTGGTATATTTTTGGAAGTATTGTTATGTAGGTAACAACAGATGAATAAAATGCTTTGATTTATTTCATTACTGGTAGCCCTTATCTCCTTTCTATTAGAAGATCTACTGTCTAAAATTATTAAGACGCCACTGACATACGGTGAAGGTAAATATCATTTGGAAACCTAGACTAATAACTTCTAATTATAAGTTTTAAATCGCTAATATGTAATCAACGCAAACGCAACAGATAATTGGCACGGCGTTTGGACTCCAATTATGCCCAAATAATATTTATGACAAAGGGCCCACCTCTCATATTAATTAAGCCATGGAATACAACTTATAGAATTTCTATCCTGGGCTTCTTAAGCATCTCGGCGTTATAAGCAGGAGAAGGAGCAGAAGTTTTGAGTCACAGTTCAGATTCTGACACTCCCCTTCGTCTCACCCAGGATGATTTACCCTCCTCAAAAACAAGTCTCTCCAAGCTTCTTCCTACCCTTTTAGAGCTTAAAAAAGACGCATACTCAGCTACAATTAACAGAGTAACTGCTAAGACCGGTCTATAAATTAAAATTAACATCGTATAAATAATAACTTTCACATTTAAGTCGTAAACAGTAAATATAACTTTTACTATCGGAAATCGTAAAGGAGAATGTATCCATATAAACCCAGGTGGTATTATCGTAAAATAAATGGCCGCCATCTAATTTATTACGCAAAGGTGCTAAATTGAGATATAGATAAATCTTAATTTGGGTAATTAAAATAATTTGACGATGACTGCTGCGTGAGTAAGGTGCGATTAAGGAATTCTAGGAGATAATGAAGGTTCCAAGGACAAAGGTACTTAATTTTTCTAATGTGTTAATTATTATAAAGAAGGTACCTACATTAAAATTATAAAAGACATTTTCCATAGAAGTTTCGTTAGTATCCAGATAAAAAGATAATGATGATGTTGATATAATATGTATTTCACGACAATTTGTTTTGTACATTAAAAAAAATGAACTCAACTCATTTAATCTAACAATAAGTGAATCTAGTCTATATCTAGATATCTTTTCTTTTTTTTGCTTTTACATAGGCGATAGGTACAAAATATATACAGGAGCTCTCGACTACATAGGCGCTTACGTTATTTCTCCTATCCTATTCATACAGCATTTGCAACATAAAATTCTGCAGTACCCTCTGAAATCATACCTATTTTTCCTTATTTCCAGGAGTGAGCAATCCTACAACCGCACAGTGCAATCAGTTTCCTCAGTGGGCGCCCTCTCGGTGCCCTGGTCAGCAACAGATGCCCGGCTCACCATGCCGGCAGCTCTGGGCGTCGCTGGCATACCCGCCCTCGTCATCACGGACTCTGCTGGCAAGATCCTCACTGCTAATGGAAGACAACATCTGTCTGCTGATCCGCTTGGCTTTGTGAGTAGATTTTCTATTAGATTTGTATACTTAAATGGATTTTAATCTGCACCATTAAAACCGTTATATGACAGACTACTACTGGTCTACTGGTCCACTGGTCAAAATCATTTCTCGGTTTTAAAAGGGGTCAGAGACAAAATAACTTTCGATGCCATTTACAATTTTAAGCTTCATTTTTGAATCTTCGCTCTACAACCAGAGCCAAACATGGATGTCAAACATCACTCAAATCTTTTAAAATTTATAGACAGCTGGTACCAATTTTTGGGAGATTTTGTTACCGCATAAAGATTCGTTCCGTACTAATAACTTTGTTTTACTTTACATTATGGAAAGAATAGGGTGTAATGATAAATTGGATAATGATCACTATTTGCCGGAGTCGAAGACCCGAGTGGATAGGTTGCTTATGGGTGGGCATGCTCCATCGTAGGTCGCCTTATCGTTGACCAACAGGAGTGATATCGACAAAATGTCTTTAAAAAAAAAGGTACTATTTTTTCTCCGATTAATCTCAATTCCTTCTATTCACAGAACTTCCCATGGGCCCAGCGACCAGTCTCTGTGCTGACAGAGCAAGCGTTGTTGAAAATGGCACGACACCCTGCCGTCGTACTGTTTATAGGTAAGATAAAGCATTCAAAACTTATATCATTTTACCAATCAAATTTTCCTAATCGTAAGTAAAAAAGCCAATTAGACTAGCAGGTTGATTAGTTCACCCTTTTGCGGGTCGTAAAGCAAATGGTTCCCTATTCAGGGTAATCTCCTTATCTCCAAGTTGCCCCTGAAATCTTTTAATTTTTTGGGCAGGACACCGACTTGCGAAGTTGCGACACGTGTTGTGATACTAAAGCTTCACTAAAAAGCAAAGTAAGGTTGAATTCAGAAACCAACTCCTTTTGGGAGTCAGTCAAAAAACGTGTTCACTCACTAAACCAGAATTCCTCTCCTTCCAGATGACGAGGACTCGGAAATAGAATTCGCTGAATCCGTAATCACACCATCAGCTGAATCTTACTACGAGGAGTGCAGCATACAGTTCCCAGGGTTCTGTCCTTACCAGAACTCCTCAGATGATGAGACCATGGACTTTGATTACCCGACATCCAGACACTCGAGGCTGAAGAAGAAGCCGTTCAAACATGTCATGTTTTACATCGGGATTGATGGCACCGATAGCGCGGATATGTTGCGGGAGCATATAGGTCTCGACGATGCAGTTCCCCTCCTCACGTCCATAGACTTTCCTAAGCAGCGTATGGTGACCATGAAGTATGGTGACGAAATTACCACAGATTCGGTACAGAATTTCGTCGACGCCTACCTCAGTGGAAATGCTGATTTCAAGCCCTTGAAACCATACAGCGAAAAGTGTTAGACTTTTGCAAGATACATCATACATAAATGTTTATAAACTTTTTTTTTGCTTATTGTGGTGGCATTCAAAGAAGGAATCCTATCCATCGACCTTTCTCAGTCTGTCTTTCTTGCAACTGTTCGTTATTAACAGTTCATTGCATGCAGTAAAGTCTGAAAAATAATAAAATATTGATCTCGATTAACTCCCCTCTTTTTCAATGCACACGTCAAGTCTTAGGAAGAAATTGTCTTCAAAAGAAAATTGTACTAAAATATATCATCTGGCATGTAAAAATTATTATACTTCAATGAAATACAAACATAAAGCCACTGTACTGAAAAACTGACACCTCAAATAATTGATCGAATCGAACGTATTTTTTCAATTTGCGATTACCGATTCGCGAATCGAGCAAAGCCCCTACTGTAATGCTAGGTTTTCTCTGTGTGTATATAGCACGGTCATAATAGAACATCGTACAGAAATAGACCTATCTCGCACATTACTATTAACAAAAAGCGAAAAATATAAGGGGCATTATTTTTTTTTATTTGTCCATTTATTTATTTCAGGCATCGAAGGTCCATATAAACATATACAATACTATATTTAGGTGTACTCAACCGCCTCTAATTGAATAAAAAGCGTGGTGTTACAAGATTAAAATTAAATCATTTGTTGTTTCAGTATTATTTCCATAGTTCTCGTTTAGAATTTGTAATATTTTACTGTTTTTGTAGGACCAGTAGCGATTAGATATTATGTATTGTTAGTAAAATAGTAAGAAACCTAAGTTTTGAACTCTTGTCATTGATAACGACAAAAGTTTGTTGATGGACATCTGACGGAAACAGTGTCGAGCATATTTTCGCTGTACGCCCGATGCATTAGGTATTAGGTAACTCATCATTGATAAGGTGTGAAATATTGAATATTTTATTGTGTACTAACTTCTGCTAACGGTTTCGTGATTGATAAAATGTAGCCTTAATCATCTACCTACATACCAAATTTCAAACAAATCGGTCCATACAGATTTGCGTGAAAGAATAACGAGTGTACATTTTATGTGTGGGAGAGCCATGCTTTGGCACGAATGGGTCCCCAAGACCCTAATCTCAAAAAGGCCGGCAACGGACTCGTAGTCGTAACTCGTCCGTAATGTTTCATTTTTATTTTTAAACTGTTTTCCAAAAGAATAACTTTACAAATCTATTCGAATGAATTTTGTCGCTATCATTGATGAGATTTTCGACCCTGGATGAAATGTAGACATAATTATTTACATACATTATTGTAATATTGTTATAGATTATAGGCAATAGGTATTGAGATACTGTTTTGATGAACTATTAGATTAGATGAATTATATAGCTAACATTTTCAAAGTTACATCAGGTTTGCATTCTAAAAAAAAATTATTTTTTTTCATTATGTAGATAATAAATCTGCTTTTGATACAGGATGTAGCTCTTTATTCAAATTGTAATATGTTCTGATTTTTACCGAATAAAATAAATGAAATAGATATTATTGTATAGTGTTTTATTTACGTATTTTTTGCGATAAAGATGTATGTCTGTATACATATGTCAACTAAGATTAAGATTTGAAAAAATACAAATGAGTGTGGGAGAGCCATGCTTTGGCACGAATTGGTCGGGTCGACCGGAGTGATACCACTGCCTCATAGAAAACTGGCGTGAAACAACAAAAGCGTTGTTTCGCCGTATGAGTGAGGTGGCCGGAGGCGTCTTTGACCTCCCCTAATTTCCAAATCCCCAAAAGGTCGGCAACGCACTTGTAACTCCAACGTTGCTGCAGTGGGTGTCTATATGCAGCGCTCATTATTTACCATTATACCATTAGTTAATCCGTCTGCTCGTGTGCCGACCTATTACCAAAAAAGATACCTTCTAAATCAGGTAGGTAATCACACAAAATGAAAATGTGAGAAACGAATGTGAGTTTTTTTATGAGTACCTACATTTTCTTTTGAAGATTGAATTTTTCTTTGAATTTTTTTTTGAAGATACGTCTCCATATTTTTTATTTAGATATTTGACGACAATTATCTATCGTCACTGTCAAAGCTTCTGGGAGTTTAGTCCCTGTCATTTCATAGAATATAAAATAAAATTATATTTGTAGGTACTTACTATGATGTATAATACGTCATTGGGTACTTAACATATTTTATTTTTAATCCGAAGAACAAACAGCAAGGCTGTCCCGCTCATAATGGTGCAAAATAGGCCTGTGCTACTGTATGTAAATTCCGCTGTTAGCGCAAAGCGCTAGTGTAGGTACCGGTCGCTATTGATGTCCACGACGACATCGAATGTCAACTTCAAACAACGAACAAATCAACTATCAGTCACTTAATTTTGTTTATTTTGAGTACAAGTGCCAGTTCGTTCCTTATTTGATAATCACTTAGGGATCTTTTCGCTACCTTGCGCCTGTGTTCGAGGTTTTGAAGTTGAGCAACCACTAGCGCATCGTCGTTGATGAGCCTCAAAGAGAATACAAGACCTACGTTAATGATGATGAGCCTCTTGGCCAAAGAGTATGTAACCACTACGTTTACTCTTGGCCCTTGGCACGCCTCTCAATTTTTTCCAAAGTTTCTAGCTAACTTATGTATGTCAAAATCTGTGACATGCGATACTAGCGCTTTACGGCAACGAGTAAAACCTAGTAGCAAGAGACGAGTAGTGTAGGCCATCCGTTGTCTAGCAGTTTGTTGAATTCAGATGTTATAATTTTTTTTTATTCTAATACCTAATTTTGATGCTTAGTCGACAATCGACGGTAATGCCTGATTTCATGGGGGATGACAGTGGGTTCATGATTTTTTTACTAAAACTGGCAATAAAAATGTATTAGAAGCCAAAAGCAGAATACATCATCAGATCTCACTTCATTCTAAAATTTAAATAAGACAAAATAAAAAAATACAATATAGTACGAAATCGCAAATAAAAATCTACCTGTGAAAAATAGATGAATCCTAAAATTTTTAAACATAAAGTAATAAAATATATCTGTAAAATACGTATTTATATTTTTTATGTAACACCAAACATTTAATATAATTATGTAAGAAAGTAAAATAAAAAAATAAAAGCCACCGTTAAAATTTATGCAAAAAGCCTAGGTTCCATTCTGGTGCTATGCTGCCACAACCACAACTGTGCCTTAAAAAAGTTTACATTGACGCCGAAACCATAGCCGCCATTATTGTGAAATATTTGTTCAAAATAAATTTCACGTGCTCTCAATCGATTACGGCCCTTAATTAGTAATTAAATTCGTTTAAAACCACAAATCATGGCTGACAACGATGATCTTCTGGACTACGAAGATGAAGAGCAGGCAGATCAGCAGACCGCTGATGGGGCTACAGAAGCGGCGCCAAAGAAAGAGGTTAAGGGATCGTACGTATCCATTCACAGTTCTGGATTCAGGGATTTCCTGTTAAAACCCGAGATATTGCGCGCCATTGTCGACTGTGGTTTCGAGCATCCATCAGAGGTACAACATGAATGTATTCCACAAGCTGTCCTTGGAATGGATATCCTGTGTCAAGCCAAGTCCGGCATGGGAAAAACCGCCGTTTTTGTTTTGGCGACGCTACAACAGCTAGAACCGTCAGAAAATCATGTATACGTACTCGTTATGTGCCACACAAGGGAATTAGCTTTCCAAATTAGCAAGGAATACGAGCGGTTCTCTAAATACATGGCCGGCGTCAGAGTATCGGTGTTTTTCGGTGGAATGCCCGTACAAAAGGACGAAGAAGTTCTCAAAACTGCATGCCCTCATATCGTCGTTGGTACACCTGGCAGAATTCTGGCTTTAGTGAACAGCAAGAAACTGAACTTGAAACATTTAAAACACTTTATACTTGATGAATGTGACAAGATGTTGGAATCTCTAGACATGAGACGCGACGTCCAAGAGATATTCAGAAACACTCCCCACGGTAAGCAAGTGATGATGTTCTCTGCCACATTGAGCAAAGAGATCAGGCCGGTTTGCAAGAAATTCATGCAGGACCCCATGGAAGTGTATGTAGATGATGAAGCCAAGCTGACATTGCATGGTTTGCAGCAGCACTATGTGAGACTCAAGGAAAATGAGAAGAACAAAAAGCTGTTTGAGTTGCTGGATGTGTTGGAATTCAACCAAGTAGTAATATTTGTCAAGTCTGTGCAGCGCTGTATAGCTTTAGCTCAGCTGCTGACAGACCAGAACTTCCCCGCTATTGGTATACACAGGAATATGACTCAAGATGAGCGTCTGTCACGTTATCAACAATTCAAGGAGTTCCAGAAGAGGATTCTAGTCGCCACCAACTTGTTTGGTAGAGGAATGGATATTGAAAGAGTAAATATTGTGTTCAACTATGATATGCCTGAAGACTCTGACACCTACCTTCACCGTGTGGCTCGTGCTGGCCGATTTGGTACCAAAGGGCTAGCTATTACAATGGTATCGGATGAAAATGATGCCAAGATCCTCAATGAAGTTCAAGATCGCTTTGATGTCAACATTACAGAGTTGCCGGAAGAGATTGAGCTCTCAACTTACATAGAAGGTCGATAAGATGAATGTTCCATTCCCCGAAAACAGTGTGAATACTTTCTGAATGTCCTGTAACCTGTACCATATTGACGTAATAGTGCAGAACACAGTTTGATTTATAAGATATACAATTATCATTTACATATACATTTTTTTGACATGGTGATGGACATTTGGAAAGTAATGTTTTGTCAACACAAGTTGTGTGTTTCAATTTATTTTAATAAGTAATGTTCACTTTTCTGGAGTGTGGTGTTTTGTGTGGTTTCTTGAAACACAGCTCATATCCAGACAATTAAGTAACTCTAGGTTAAAGATTAATTAAAATAACATTTGATATTGTGATAAATTGGCTTTTATTTTTTCTTTTACAAAACTCAGTATTGTTTCTGTCATTACAATTCAAGACTCGTGAGAGATTCATTGCGAAACAGAATGTTAGATCGCTTTTCCCTGTAGTGGTAACATGAGCCCATGCAACTCAAACAAAACAATCAACTTGACTGTATGGTTGACGCTGTAGCTGGTTCATCGCAATGTGTCGCGGGTTCGATTCACATACATAAAATTTTTGTGTAATCTACAAATAAATTATTGTTGTTCCTGGTCCGGTTGCACTGAACTGAACGCACTAAAAAACTAAACCAGTGGTTTGCTCATTTTATATGTGTAGCGTAACATCACGCATTGTTTTCAGAGAGATAGGCAGGAAGGGCTATCCTATGTAGGTGGTGAGTACCTAGTGACTGAAAATATTCCTCATCATAGCGTAAGCTAAATCAAAACGGTGCTGCGTTTAGTCTGCTCATTAGTTGGGCCAATCAAAGCTCACGTCATTGACTACTTGATCGTGATCGTGATAACTTAAAACACGAGTTGTTTTAAGTAGTTCCCACGTAATGAGAAAGGTCAAAGTGAAGGTTCACATATCAAATAAAACACTTCTATATAGACCATGGGATCTCAGCATACACAAGCTCTTTTCCAGTACATATTTCGGGCTAGACGCTGCCGAGAAGATAACAGACATTGGCCTTCATAATAATATGATCTCAAGAAGCGGTTAGCAAACAAAACAACACATAAAACAATTATCACTTTAGTACTTTACTGGTATTCCACTAATGTTAGGATATTTCAGTAAAATGACAACATTGGAGCAGTAAAATTTTATTGGCTTACTTATTATCTTGCACCTATGTTACATTATTTTATGCTTTTGCTATCGGGAAAAAATTCTCTGTAGGTACCTATTTGTATTTTTATTGAAGATAGGTACATAGGTACTGCCTACCAATAAAGGATAATAATTTACATTATATCGTCATTGGTACTACCCTATCGGAAGCAGAAGTAAGTACCGTAACTAATAATACCTACTTGTAGTAAATAAATCCGAGTAAACAGGCTAAAATTACGTGTAAAAACGATAGGTAATGAAGAGACGCTCGAGAAATAAAATTATTGCAAGTTACAATTTCGTTTTCAGATAGCCTTACTTGATAGGATTAAAAGAAAGGACTTTTAAAATGCTAAAGTATTCCATGCACTATGTAGGTACCTACTCTCAAAAATAGATACTTAACACTCAAAATTATTACCATATTATTATTTCACCAATGGTCAATGAAGGTCATGTCCTTACTGCGTCTTCCTAACAAAATAAATGAAACAAACTAGGTATTTCTTAGTAAAAAATATTTATTTCTTTTTTTAGAACATGTTAGGTAACAAACTTAATAGCACCTATATTCTATACCTATAACGATAGGTTCAAAAACTACAATAATATTGATTTGGTTCATTTTATTCGAGTTTTTAGGAAACCTAGGTGGCCTAAACATAGTTATTATAGGTATTGTGTTAAAAACTACAATATGACGATGTTGTCAAAGATACAATATTGATACAATTTCTGAGTTTCGCTACTCAATTTATCCTTTATTTTACGCCGTGAAGGTATTTAAATCATACAAAAACATGTCCCAATATTGTAGTTGTAGCAAAAAATCGTGTTCTGTAGATATCATGAATCATTGTTTATACATCATATGCAAATAACTACCTGCAAATTCCTACTTTAATTATGTAAACATTTGGAATGATAACAGGCCAATTCTAACATGTTCAATAACAAAATAAAGTAATAGGTAAGTTTAAATATTATTATGAAGTACATAAAAATACAACATGCTGAATTGGTAGGTACCTTATTAATAAAAAAATCTTTCACCATATAACAATAAAATTGACATTATATACTAAAACATGATACATGTAACTTGAGCAAATATAGATTGGATAATATAATAATATTTCACTTAATTACAGTGTTAAGTTTTTTTGCTTACTATAGATTGCCATGCACCATGTATACCCACAATAAACCTTATTCATCAGTTAATTTCATTTCCTAAGTGCACAGCCTTTTTAGGATTGTAAAACATTTTCTCATGAGTAAAGTGAGTGATCAAATCCAGTGCCCATTTTGGCTGGTCTCCAGGCACCATGTGTCCCGCATTCCTCACCAGAATCTCCACCAGTTTACCAGCTTCCTTCACATAGCCAGCAACTTCTCCATCCACCTTCCAGACATACCTTTTTGCAGTTTTATAATCTTCTGCTCCAGTAAAGTTTAAGTTTTTGAGGTAGTTTTCAGTTAAAGGATAGGCCACAATGATGTCTAACTGTCCATTATAGATGACCACATAGTAATGATCTAACAGCTCTGATATCCATGGAGCTACTGACTTCATGACATCCTGCTTTAGATGCTTTTCCACTTCAGTCCCATTGTGGAAAGGCAAGTCTCCAACATGTATCATTTTCCGGACAGCAGACTTTTGCAACATTGGTCCGAAATCTTCAAACTGAGTGTAGTCCTTTGTGTGTAAGAAGTTGAAGTAGAAATTGAAGCCAGTCAGGTTTGTGAATATGCTCTTACCGTTAATCATGTCACCATTCAACAGAGTATCAAATGTGGCAAAGGCATCATCCCATTTTCCTTGTCTGATAAAGTTCTTTGTTTTGTTTTCATATTCTTCAAATAGTTTGGCTCCATTTGAATCTATGAGACCTATTTGGTACAAATATTTGCCATACACCAATTGATGTTCTGGATCACTTAGACCATTGCCAATAGCAATTCCCTTCATGTTTATTTTTAGCTTAGCTGATGGGTTCTTTTTATGAATAGTGTATGCTAGCGCAGGGACATACTTCCCTCCATAAGACTCACCAGTTACGAAGAATTTATTCTTCTGAAGTTCTGGGAACAGTTGGAAGAACTGTATCAGCGTGGAGTACAACTGCTCACCAACCTGTGTCTCGTCTGTACAGTACCCTCTACTGTCATTTGTAAAGCTGAACCCTGTACCCACAGGATTATCGATGTATATAATGTGGTGGCTCACAGCCCAGTTATACTTCCTTCTCTCGAACTTATTGCGACGCACTCTTATGGGCCCATTCTCCGTGAACAGACCATACAAAGAAGTAGCACCAGGTCCGCCCTGCAGCCACACTATTACGGGGGCGTTTGTGTTGTTCGGTATCATGGCAGGGAAGTACCAGAAAAATTGGTTAGAGTCGTACTGCTTGTTCACGGTGAAATATCCAGCGTAACTCTTGATACGAAGACTCTCCGTGAAGGGTACGCGAGCCAAGCGCCTGCCTTCTTCAATTTTCCCGCTCTCGACGTACGGGGTGAGGAACAGAGGCTTGCCTGCATCACCTCCATCACGTTCACCGAGGTTCAATTTTGGATACCGATGAAAGAAACCCTCGGCATGAAAAACAAGTTGAAAAATTAACAGAGCCCACAGTGCTCGCGCCATCTCGACCCGAATACTGACCTAATTAATTAGTGAGCTTCACCTTTTTATCATGCTAGTCAATAGTCATTGGCGGCTAATAATAATGTTGTTTTTAGCCGGCTTATCGAAATTTAGTTTTTTTTTTTCAATACACCCACAGACTATCGACAATGACAATCCAAATCGAGTGTGGCGAATTAATAGGAATTAATATATTTTACATGTGTGTGCGTTAAACGATGCAAAAAAAATACATTCAATTCAATATACGTATATATTTATTAAATATAATGAAAAAAAAGAAACTTAAAGTTATATAGAGAGTATCGTATACTGTAAACCTAATCTATTCTGTGAACTATGATTCTTTATATGCAGACATCGTTAATTTAGTTATAAATTATGAAAATTGAAAGCAGTTCCATGATTTTCCAGCGATGCAAAATGATACATAAAATATGTATATTTCTTACAGTTCATGAAGTGGCAGAAGAAAAATAAAACTTTTATGAAATCTTTCAGTTGAGTTAAACCATCATATTTTTACGTTCCGAAGGACGTTTGTTTTGAATTTTCAAGTTCAAGCTTGTCAAAAGGTCATTGACTGGCTTCCGGAAAACCAATGGACACAAATAAATCAAAACAAACTAAAATTGTAACAGAAATCAAAGCGATCGGTGTTTTTACTATTTTTTAGAATATTAAAATAATGTAACAAGTGGTGGTAGCATGACGAAAATAATGTGTGATTTCAATGGTTTTCGCTCCATTCTTCTCGCAGCTTTGTGTGCATTCTCGGTGGTCAACGCCACATTCTTTCCAGATCTGTATCCAAGACTAAAACTGGACGCTAGAGCAACGAAAGATGCGGGTGTGCCTCTCTTTATTACGCCCTATCTGAAGACAGGCTCCATATCACTCGCCCAAAATCTTTCCCGGGTGTCTATAACAGACACGATAGGATTCCGAAGTCACGCCGGCTTCTTTACAATAGACGAGAAATACAACTCGAATTTATACTTATGGTATTTTCCTCCATTTTCTAAACAAGAAGGAGCTCCTATTATTATCTGGCTACAGGGAGGACCTGGAGGAAGTTCTCTTTTTGGATTATTTCAAGAGTTGGGACCACTGATAGCGAAAAAGGAAGGTTTCGCTTTAAGAAAATATCATTGGGCACTAAACTATCATGTAATATTTATTGACAACCCTGTGGGCACTGGATTTAGTTTCACAGATAATGAAAAAGCATACTGTACTAATGAGGATTGCATAGCTGAAGGACTTTACACCACTCTAAAGCAGTTCTACCAATTGTTTCCAAATTTGAAGAAAAATGAATTATACTTGGCAGGAGAGTCTTATGCGGGAAAGTACCTGCCATCTTTTGGATTAAAAATACATCATGAGAATGCTAAGAGCAAAGAAAAAGTCAATCTAAAAGGGATTGCAATGGGTAATGCATATTGTGACCCTATCAATCAACTAGACTATGGCAGCTACTTATACCAATTAGGATTAATAGATGACAATGCATTAAAATTATTTCTAAAATATCAAGGAGAGATTGCTAATCAAATAAAACAAGAGAATTGGGAACAAGCAGATGTCCTCATGGATAGACTAATGGACGGGGATATGACAAATTTCTCATACTTCAAATACTACACTGGATTTGATTATTACTACAATTATTTACAGTCTTCTGCAGCCGATGATATGTCAGTATTCATCAGCTTGTTACAGAATGACAAAGTCCGTCATGCTGTGCATGTTGGAGGATTAGCATTTAATGATGGACTAAAGGTTCAATTAAATTTAATACTTGATATGTTAAAGTCTGTATCTCCTGCAATATCAGAACTTCTGTCACATTATAGAATTATGTTTTATAATGGCCAGCTGGATATAGTTGTTGCTTATCCACTCACAGAAAACTTTTTGCATAATCTACAATTTTCTGCGGCTGCAGAATATAAAAATGCAAAGAGAATGATTTGGAAGGTAGGTGATGATATAGCTGGGTATGTTAAGACAGCTGGTAATCTTACTGAAGTTTTGGTCAGAAATGCTGGGCATATGGTACCACGGGACCAACCTAAATGGGCCCTCAACCTTATCACAAGATTCATTAAAAATGATTTTGCATTCTGAAACCTTTTATTTTAATATAATTAGTTTTATAGACAAATACTTGTGTTTGATGGCAATAAAGTAGGATTAAATGGGAATAATAATGTAATCATGTAATTATAGATAAGAAAAAAAACCTTTTTTAATGTTGCCTTAATATTATAATATATGTAGAGGCTTAAAAGCTTGAAAACATTTTTAAACTTCAAGGACTTAAGGTCACCTTCACTGCGAACAAAATAAATATTGACAAAGGTTTGAAACCTCTTTGCTGTTTACAGTTTACTCTGTAAGCTTGACTTTTTGGCCTTTTAGCCTACACTGGCATAACATGTCATACATTTGCTTACTTGAATAATTGTAGCAACTCACTGAGATATTTCAGAGATCAATGTTTGTGTACAGAATAAATACATAATTCACCCAATGGCTTTTGATCACAGCATAGCCATTTGTTTTTGGTAAACACTATAAAATATAAATATTTTTAAGGCTGAAACTGTTACTGCTGAAGCTACTTTTTTTTTTTTTTTTTTTTTGGTTTCGGGTTGGAAAATCCTCATGGAGACCCACCGCCCTCGGGGTAAGGGCGAAGGGTACTGTCAGACTCTTACTGACTAAAAACCAACCCGGTGTTCCTCCAAAATAACCCATGTGTCGGAGGGGCGGGTATCGCCGAAGCATTCGTCGCAACCCCCCGACGGGTATTGGCCCGCCAGATGGTAAGGCGGGCCCCGTCACCCACTGCGGCCGTCACCTCGACCGCAGGACTCCACTACGAGGCGCGCGCGGAACACGGCACCGCCGCCTCGAGGCCTGCTGCTGGTCGGACGACTACGCCCCGAGTCTGTCGTCCGCAGGCCGCGCCCTACGGTGGCCGCAGGTCGGCCACTCTATGACGTCTAGTGCGTCTGCTGCGGGAGGGAAGAGAGGAGGCAGCCTCTCTCTCCCTTTCCGCCGCCTCCTTTGCGAGCATCACGGCCTCGCAAAAGATAGCGACGGCACTCCACCCTGACTCGCTCCCGACCATAGTAGACACTACAGCCGGAAGCGAGAGATTTCCCGCAGCACCTACGGCCGCGACCAGGTCACGGCGCTGCTCGGCCCAAGCTGGACATTCCACCAACGTATGCAGCGCCGTATCGTCGCGGCAATTACCACAATGGTGGCACTGAGACGTCGGCTCCCGGCCTATGCGACACAGGTACTTCCCGAAACACCCGTGTCCGGTAAGCACCTGCGTCAGCCGGAAGCTGAGGGCGCCGTGGCTCCTATTGAGCCACTCCTGTAGAATTGGCCTTACCGCCGCTATAGCGGCGTGCCCCGCCGTGGGTTGCGCTAAACGCGTCTGCCACTCCGCCACTAAGGCCTGGCGGAGTTCTGCCCTGCGTGCCTCAACCTGTCGAGGCACCAGGCGCTCGCCCCGCTCGACTGCCTCCGCACGCCACCAATATAGTGACGCGAGGAGCTTTGCGTCGAGGTCCCAGGGCGGGGATCCGGCTAGGAGGCTCGCTGCCTCAAAGGAGATCGTACGGTATCCCCTTATTATCCTGACGGCCATCGCTCGCTGTGGCCTTCGCAGCGCAGCGATGTTGCGAGCCGTCAGGGCTCCCGCCCACACTGGCGCGGCGTATAAAGCCATCGACCGTACGACCCCCATGTAGAGCCTCCGGGAAGAGTAGATGGGCCCCCCCTGGTTGGGCAGCAAGCGCGACAAAGCAGCAGCGGCGCCCATCAACCGGGGGGCGAGCCGTGTAAAGTGCGGCCCGAAATTCCACCGACTGTCGAGAACGAGTCCGAGGTACTTCATCGTGGACTCAACAGCGATGGAAACCCCTCCTACTATGATGCTGGACCCCTGAGGAGGCTTCATCCTCGGCCCATGAAAACACAGGGCCTCCGATTTGTGCAATGCCACCTCTAGGCCCAGCCGCCGGATCCTACCCACGACGTGCGCGACACCAGCAGTCGCGCGTATGGACGCCTGCCGGTACGACTTCCCACGCGCTGTAACTAGCGTATCGTCGGCGTAACAAATGACGCCGACGCCGTGGAGTAGCGCACCGCGCAGAGCCCAGTCGTAGCCAACGTTCCACAAGAGCGGCCCCAACACCGAACCCTGCGGAACGCCGCACGACGTCTCTCGCCGACCCCATCCTTCTCGACCCGACTGCTGAAGCTACTGTTACCAGTGAAGTTGTGACAGTAAGTAAGAATTAATGTACACATGTTACCAAGGATCAGTCGAAATATTACCCAGAATTGATTTCAAAATTTATCATAAATTATTTTAGATTAAGATCCAATTTCGATTACCTTATGCGGAAAATAGACGCAATATTTTGAACAATTACATAATAATACTAAACCAAAATAACTTAACCTGATCTGTCACTCCAAGAGTTTGTATTTATATTCCAAGAGATGGAGTATTTAAAAAGACCATCCAATTTTTGAATTTTTGACACCCTGTGCCTACAATTAAATTGTTGATTTTACGTCGTACGATATGTTAATGTGCAATATTATATTATATAATTATTTATTGAGAATTTTTATATGAATTATGAAAATAAAAAATATTTTTCAATTTATCAATTATTTTTTATTTAATTTCATAAATGCCACTATAACTAAATAAATACTATTAACTAAGATCTTACTCATTACAAATACAGTCATTTGTTTACACATACATTTCTAAACAATAGTAGTTTTATTTTTCTTTCCTATTCAATTATAGACAAAATAAAGTGAATTTTTTATATTTTTATTTCTTAAAATTACCATATTGTAGCCTTGTGATAATAGATTATAGTTCTATCTATTGCTGCTAATTATATTTCAACTATAAAATATTTATATGGCCTAGGGTGGCCAACAAGCAAATGAACTGATGAACTGAAAAGCAAATGAACAAATGAATGAAATGATGAACACTCATAATGTCAAAAGAGATACAAGTTTGCTGTGGGTTGGGTCTTTTAGTGATAAAGGTTTGGGTGAGAATTAGGCCTTCTTGCTAACTTCATTCACTCTTCGAAACACAAAGAAACTTATTTCATGCCAGTTTATTGTCATTTAAATCATAGATTCGATTATATTCATATGAACAAGATAAAATAAAACTACTATTACTTTAAAACCACCAAAAGCGAAACCACACTCAAATAATTCTAAGACAAATTATTTATAATTGACAACTGATTCGATATTGTTATTGAAATCATAAAACAAAATAACGATGAGGAATGAAAATTATTAAAAAAAAGTATTTGATAATAATTGTAATATCCGGCGATTTAGGATTATTTCATTAATTGGCAATGGCAAATTGTAATTATTTTAATATTAATCAAATTAATCGAAATTGTGATTGAATGAGGGCTTCCTTTATTTTGCTTACCAGGTGGCCCTTACGTGGGGCGAGGTCTGTTAGTACCTACATAGCTATTTTCGCTCAATTTAGAAAATTACCTATTACAAAAAGTTGAACGCTTAATTTTTCTCAGCTATCATGATTAGACAGACAGTACAAACGCATCCTAAGCGCCACCTGGCGAGCAAAAAGCAGTAGCCCTAATGCCTCGGCCGCACTCATCGCGCCAATATTCGGGCGATAAACTTCGTCTTCGGGCTACGGCGAATATTCGCGGCCACATATTATATAATATACGAAGTTTATCATCCGAATTATATTGAGATTAATAGGGAAAACTATTGACACGTCCGCTTTGCCGATGCGTACGGGCCGACTGAAGTGTGACAGCGCACCGAAGTGGTGAAGGCTTCGCGATTACTTGGCTACAATTATCGCGATATCGTGAATATTCGGGTTATAGCGATGAGTGCGGCCGAGCCATCATTGAAAGGCACATTTAGGTAACTTTAATATGTTGTATGTATTAATGAAAACTTACCCAAACCTGTCTTCATTGTCTGTAACAAAGACCTGAATTTCAAGAAAGTCAAATACATAAATCAATTCTTAATTATTATATTAATAACATGCTATATTTACAATTATTTAGACACGCCAGCGCATGAACCTATACTAACCTGTTACATTCTTTCTTATTCTGGAATTTATTTTAAGAGCAATAAAGTTTAAATTGTGTCTGACAATTTGATAAGTGGAGGTTGACCTGCCTGTCTTTTGTTTTGTGTTAGGTGTGATTTGATTACTATGTTGTGAACTTTTGATTATTTTTGAACATGTATTTAGCACAGAACCTGCTATACTAAATAAATTTCATTATATTTTAAAATATAGAATTTTTATAAAAGAAAAAATAATATACATAAGTAGTTTTATAGAGATAACTTCATATCTTTAATTCCTATGGGGTGGGCAGAGAAGCATATATTCCATCAAACATTTTAAACAGCCTTGAGTCCCATTTAGCCTGCCCTGAACACAATAATTAGGGACCATACAGATTTTATTTAATTACTTGAACCACAAAGTTATATATTGAGAATTTGTAATAAAAATTAAACCAGCAAATTTTGCTTACACTTGGACACAAAATTAAACTATATGTATGTATATTATTTTTTCTTTTATTTTGACTATGGTGAATAGCTTGGGCAACTTATGGTGTCGGAGGTGTCGGAGGTGTCGTTACGCCAGTAAAGCAGTGAGTGCGTCGAGGAACTGCGCCCTCTGCGCGAGTGGGAGTGTGATGATGGAAGTATCGACGTGGTCCAACGACACGGAAGCGCCGGACTTCGTCGCTGCCTGCTCGAACGCTGCGCCGAATAAACTGGAATAGGTACAAGATATAAGTTTTTACATGTTTTAAGTTTTATGTTGAAATTGTTGAGAATTATTTAGCGATTAGGTATTTAAATTTGCAAAATTTGTTTGTAGAATTTGTTAAATTTGCAATTCTTCCTTTTGATATATATTTTTTTATATAAACGTTGCTACTCCCTCATCTAGGATTTTCTCCTGTATCGTGGTTGCGTTTACAAACATACAATTTCACATACACATGACAACCCGGAACAACAATTTGTGAGTCACACAAAGAGTTGTTCCGTGCGGAAATCGAACCCGCGACACGTTGCACGGCAATTAATTGCCCAGCCACCGCACCAACCGTGCAGTAATTAAATCTTATTTTTCCTTAGTCATTGTGTCAATGTAAAGTGTGGGAGAGCCATAATGCTTCAGCACGAATGGGTCGGCTCGACCGGAGTAATACCACGGCCTTAAGAGAAAACCGGCGTGAAACAACCAAAGTTGTGTTTCGCCGTGTGACTTTTTTTTTTTTTTTTGTCAGGGGAAAATCATATCCAATGACTTCTCCCGCCCAGGGTAAGGCGAGAGAGAGTGTCAGACTCTTACTGACTAAAAACCCCCCCGTTCCTTCTCCTGCTCTGGGCCGAGGTCGCGGTGCCTCATTGCGCTTACCCCGCAGCCCCGGCTAAACATCAGCCCTTTAGGGCCCCGTCTGTGGTGGTCTATTGGCTCTTTGAGGCGCGCGCGGAACGCTACGCGCCGTACGCTCGGGTCCGGTTCTGGTCGGGCGGCGAGCTACCCTTACTCGCCGTCCGCAGACCCGCGCTTACGGTGGCCGGAGATCATCTCTCGATCCCCGACGTCCGGAATGTCGCCTTCTGCGGCGGCTGGGGCGCGAGGAGGATAGTTTTCGCCGTGTGACTGAGGTTACCTAAGGCGTAATACCTGCCTTTTCCCCATCCCTTATCCGATAGGTCGGCGACGCACTCGTGGTAACTCTTTTGGTATTACGAATGTCCATGGACGGCGCCGATTGCTTTCCATCAGGTAATCCGTGTGCTCGTAGAATGTATAAATAGTACAAACTTCCTGGGCTCGTGTTGGAATCGCGGCGGGACCCCGAGCAGTATGCAGGAGTGTGCGTCGAGGGGCGCGGAGACGAGCACGGCGCGGCCCGCGCTGCCCAGCGACACCCAGCGCGCCGCCACGCCCAGCCACAGCGGGCCCTTCACCAGACGGGCCTCCGGGGTACCCTGCACATTATTATACAAATCTTATTATAATAGTTTTTGATGATAGTGTTACATGAAGCCAGCATTTCCTAATTACTCAAAGAATACTGAAACAAACTCAGGCCCAAGATAATAGTACACTTTGATTGCACAGTTGACGCGGTGGCTCGCTGCCAGCAGGTACCATTCCCACATGAAACTACTCTTTATGTGATCCACAAATTCTTGTTTCGGATCTGGATGTGATGTGTATTGTGTATGCTGCACTGTTGCTAAAGTTGGAACACTATGGTATTCGAGGGGCTTCACTCAATTTATTAAAATCATACCTCCAGGATAGGCAGCTTAAAGTACAGGTAAACAAAGTGAATTCTCAGGGTGCTAGCATATCTATGGGCGTACCACAGGGCTCGATATTAGGTCCTTTCCTATTTTTGGTCTACATAAATGACTTACCTCATTTATTTCAGCGAGAACCGGGAATGGTATTATTTGCTGATGACACATCGTTGATTTTTAAAATAAATAGACGGACAAATAATTATGACGAAGTAAATAATGCTATTACGAAGGTTCATAACTGGTTTACAGTTAATAATTTAGTTCTAAACGACAAAAAGACAAAGTGTATACGATTCAGTTTACCAAATGTAAAAAGTAACGAATGTGACATATTAATAAACGGCAAGAAATTGGAATTTGTAAAACAGACTACTTTTCTGGGTATAACCATAGATGAAAAACTACAATGGGGGCCCCATATCACATCTCTGGCAGGACGGTTGAGTTCTGCAGCATTTGCTGTCTGGAAGATCCGACAGCTAACAGATGTGGACACTGCAAGACTGGTGTACTTCAGCTACTTTCATAGCATTATGTCGTATGGCATCTTGTTGTGGGGACAGGCTGCTGACATTGAGTCTATCTTTGTCTTGCAAAAGCGTGCAATTAGAGCAATTTACAACCTAAGGCTTCGCGAATCTCTTAGAGATAAATTTAAAGAGATCAATATTATGACTGTGCCCGGTCAGTTTATTTATGAAAATATAATGTATGTTAGGAAACACTTAATATTATTTGATAAGGTATCAGACAGACATAATTACCAAACTAGACATAGAGATAGATTGTGTCAGCCATTATTTAGATTGGCAAAGGTACACAAGTCGTTCATGGGATTCAGCGTTAAGTGTTATAACAAAATCCCAGGCGAAATACAACAATTAAATGAAAGAAATTTTAAATTATGTGTAAAGAAAACTTTGTGTAAAAAAGCATATTACAAACTGAGTGATTATATTGAGGATAAGGATGCTTGGAGACGGGCTGGTCCTGCTCCACAGGATAATATACCTACACGAATATAAATAATGTTCCAGTGGATCTTTGCTTGAACGGAAGTTCTTAGATTTTGTAAATTTGTTACCATGCTATTTTTATTGTTAAACTTGATAAATTTGTAAATGTGAGTGCCCTGTAACCTATTAAAATTAGTTAGACTAGCAGAATGTCGGTCCATATGTCAGCTTGGAGTTGTCATGCTCACTCAAAGGTCACATTGGCGGTGGCACGGTCACTGGATCGCTCGATTCCCTATATTATGGTTGAGTTGGGCGATGCTGGTGTACGTGTCATGCTCGTGAACGGGCGCCGTCAATTGGGACTGGTCAGCTCCGGACTGTCTATTGTCCTTAAGGTTATTTTCTTTTTATGTTTCTCTGTATACACGCGTTACACTGTTCTCACATATTCAAACTAACTAAATAATGTATCAAAGAATGTTTATGTGACACTGATTTTAAAAGAGTAACCATGGAGTTTCTTGCTCGTTCTTCTCCATCGGAATCTACACTTTGGAACGAGCGAATAGCTTCACTAAGAGGACTGACCGACAGACTGACACTTTGTATCTTTAAAGTTGTGTTGACGTTCAAAAGTGCCTGTATGGGTCTAATTGAAATAAATAATTTTGACTTTGACTTTGACTTTGACTATGTGAATTTGTTTGTTAGTAAATGTACCTACGAAACAGAAAAAGTCCTACTGTGATATTTTTACTTTCTTTATAGCACGTTATGATTTTCTCCCGTGTCGTGAGGTGCGTTAACATAACATAAAAATTCACATACACCGTACACCCGGACCCAGAACAAAAATATGTGGATGTGATCCAAAAATTTTTGTTAAATTCAAATTTAAGCAATGAAACAATGAACCGACCAACCGTTCAATCAATATACAAAAACTAGCTTCCGCCCGCGGCTTCACCCGCATGGTATGTTGATAAAAAATAGCCAATATCCTATTCGGGATTGTATCCTATGCTCGTGACAAATTTCATCCAGATCCGACCAGCCGTTTTGGGTGATTGAATAACAAACATCCAAACATCGTAACTTTCACATTTATAATATTAATTAGATTGGAATAACAAACCTCTTGAATAATAAAATAGCTAAAAGGTCCAGCTAGATGTAGTTTCCGTCCGCTGAGCGTGGAGTGTACGACCCTGGCGACTGCCTCGAGCGCCCTCTGCGCCGCCTGCCAGCCCAGCCTCCTACCTTCATTCTCCCCCGTCTCTGTCGCTAGACATTCCAAGGCTAGCTGAAAGCCTTCCGCTTTTGGTATTGTTTCCTGAAAGAATTACATAAATGTTACAATTAAATAAATAATGAATATATGTATTATAAAGAAGTGAAAAGTTTTGGAATGTAACTACTTTAAAATGGAGTTTAGAGTTATCTCCGGAAAACTATCTTGGTTCATTTGAACACCATTATAAAGAAGAGATGCAGGTCAAAAAGTAGTTCTTATATCAACTTGTCATAATTGGGTAGTTTCCTAGGTTAAAAATAATTAAATTCGACGTTTCAATACAATAAAATCTTGAAAAATAATTGTACTTTTATTCATAGATCTGTCTATACACTAAAATTTTGATATTTTTTAGCTAATTTTTACGAAATAAGTAACCAATTTGACGCAAAAATATTATGACGTCATAATTTCTATACTCGGAATTTTAATTCCATTCCAGATTTGACAATTTCAGTGTTGCAACGTTATGACACGTAATAAATAGTGACGTTGCGAAATTATTCGATTTGGAAATCGAATATTTCTGAATCGATTCCTCTCGTTTATAAACTTAATCTTGTAAACTAAGTTTATCAGGAAATAAAATATTTCTGAACCGGTAATTTTAGTTTTGACAGTTAATTAACGATCTGAGACTTTTCTTTTGTAATTGTGTGTGAAATTAATAAAAAATGTGATCATGAAGGAACATGACAAATAAAACAGAAATTTTATAGATTGTCGCCGTCATCGCTATCGCTATAGCTGTTACTTTCTGTAACATTTATTATGAATTGTGTCTGTGATTTTTATTGTCAATTAACATATCTAGCTTACTCATTTTTTCCTCTTCTTTGACAACATGGGATACGCATTTAGACCATTCGGTAGCCGTAATTTTTTGAATGCCTTCCTGAAACTATACTCGGAATTTTAATTCCATTCCAGATTTGACAATTTCAGTGTTGCAACGTTATGACACGTAATAAATAGTGACGTTGCGAAATTATTCGATGTGGAAATCGAATATTCCTGAATCGATTCCTCTCGTTTATTAAATTAATCTCGTAAACTAAGTTTATCAGAAAATAAAATATTTCTGAACCGATAATTTAGTTTTGGCAATTAATTAACGATCTGAGACTTTCCTTTTGTAATTGTGCGTGAATTCTGTCTGTGATTTTTATTGCCAATTAACATATCTAGCTTATTTATTTTTTGCTCATCTTTGACAACATGGGATACGCATTTAGACCATTCGGTAGCCGTAATTTTTTGAATGCCTTTCTGAAACTGATTCACTGATTGTTTATCGATTTTTGTGTTCATCGCTACACTGTTATATGTGGTATCATTATTTCACAAAATGACAATAAGTCATGTCAAATCAGGAATCGAATTAAAATTCTGACTATAATTCCCTGATTGTTTATCGATTTTTGTGTTCATCACTACACTGTTATATGCGGTATCATTATTTCACAAAATGACAATAGGTCATGTCAAATCAGGAATCGAATTAAAATTCTGACTATAATTCCCTGATTGTTTATCGATTTTTGTGTTCATCACTACACTGTTATATGCGGTATCATTATTTCACAAAATGACAATAGGTCATGTCAAATCAGGAATCGAATTAAAATTCTGACTATAATTCCCTGATTGTTTATCGATTTTTGTGTTCATCACTACACTGTTATATGCGGTATCATTATTTCACAAAATGACAATAGGTCATGTCAAATCAGGAATCGAATTAAAATTCTGACTATAGTTTCATACAACTTTCATAGATAAGTTTCGTTTTTGACATTTGGATAAAAGTATCGAATTTGACTAGTTGGAAACTACCGCATTAAGTTTGAAAATGCTTAGAATGTTTATCGTGAAGTGAAAAAGTTTATGAGCTACAATGAAATAAAGATAGAGTTAAGTCTATTTTACTTAGCTTGCACGCTATTATAAAGAATAGATAGGTATCAACTTTTTATGATTATGAATCCCAGTTGTGGCTTGAAACTAGTCGAGCCTACTCGAATCAATTTCGTGACATATTTTATACGGAAAATTTAAAGAGACTACATAATGGCACTCTAACATACATGGCAAAGTGTGTAGTATGATACAATGATTACAATAACATACTTAGGTAAGTTAAGTGAAAGACCTATGCTTTAGCAAGAATGGACCGGCTCGACCGGAGAACCACGGGTGGATATCACGGCTTCACAGAAAACCGGCGTAAAACATAGTGATTGTGTTTCGCCAAGTGAGTGAGGTTACTGGAGGCCCAATACCCGTCGGCCTCCCTACCCAATTCCTAAATCCCAAAACCCCCGTATCCCCAAAACTGCACGATTGGTGTGGAGTTTTGGGGATACGGGGCACGGGGCAACTAGCCGCCGTGCAACGTGTCGCGGGTTCGATTCCCGCAAGGAACAACTCTTTATGTAATCTACAAATTGTTGTTCTGAGTACTTGTAACTAATCTGGTGTAGCTAGTGTCCATGGGTGGGGCCGATTGCTTACCATCAGGTAATCTTTCTGGTTGTTTGCAGGTGTATCACATAAATAATGTATCACAAAAAACACTAACAGACAGTCAGCCTTCGCAATTATTAATTTATTATGATAAGGTAGGCTCACAGCTTCCGTCGGGGGGTTGCGACGAATGCTTCGGCGATGCCCGCCCCTCCGACACATGAGTAAGTGGAGGAACACCGGGTTGGTTTTTAGTCAGTAAGAGTCGGACAGTACACTTTGCCCTTCGGGGCGATGGGTCTCCATGAGGATTTTCCAAACCGACACCAAAAAAAAGTAGGCTCACAGCTTATGTATACAAAGTGGTTAGAAGATATTCGTTATAAGTAGTAGGTCTTATACATTAGCCAGTTACCAGTTAACCAACATTCGTTTAAAATTATCCGTTTGTACAGACAAATAATATATAAATTATAGCTAGAACTATTTTACACTAGGATTTTCTCCTGTGTCGTGGGAACGTTTACAAACATACAATTTCACATGCACATCAAAATCTGTGGATCACACAAAGAGTTGTTCCGAACAACCCGCGACACGTTGCGCGGCAGCCAGTTGCCCAGCCACTCCGCCAATCGTGCAGTCAAATTAAATTAATAATATATTTTTTAATTAAATGTACATTACATGTTCAATAAGTCCCATGATGGCGTAGACGACATCGATGGCCGCTATTGTAGGCGAGTGTACCCTCTGCAGTAGGAAGGTCGTGTGGCTGGGGACGGGGAGCTTATGTTTGGGTGCAGCTGTCTCAAGCGACGTCAGCAGGGAGCGTCGGAGCTCCACGTCCATAGAACGGTAGGCCTGGCGAGCTTGTTGCAGGGGGATTCTGAAACAAACATACAGGTAATCAGTTACAGAATTGGGTAGTTTCCTAGATCAAAAATAAATTATTTCGACGTTTCACTACAATAAAATATTGAAATATTATACCTAGACTTTTATTAATCGATAGATCGATACACTAAATTTTAGATATTAATAGCAAATTTTTAAGAAATAAGTAAGCTATTTGACGTAAGAAAACGATGACGTCATAACTCTGTGTTTCATACAAATTCCATAGAAAAGTATAGTTTTTGACATTTTGGATAAAAATATTGAATTTGAGTACATAATTGGAAACTACCGGATTACTCACCAGCATTATTTATTAAATTTAATAATTATTAATATTACAATGTTATTATTTTTTGCACGATGTGGTCTCCTATAAGTAATTGGAGGAGCACACAACTTTGAAATTGTATTTTTTTTTATAATATTGCGCATGTAATGTGCATTCTCTTTTTTTTATTATTTAATAGGTCGGAAAACGAGCAGACGGATTACCTGATGGTCAGCAATCAGCGCCGCCCATGGATACTCGCAACGGAGGAGTTACGAGTGCGTTGCCGACCTTTTAGGGATTAGGGATTTGGAGATTTAGAGATTTAGGAGGGATTGGGGGAGGGGAAGGATTGGGCCTCCAGTAACCTCACTCACACGGCGAAACACAACGCTGTGGTTATTTCACGCCGGTTTTCTGTGAGGCCGTGGTATCACTCCGGTCGAGCCGACCCATTCGTGCCGAAGCATGGCTCTCCCACACTTAACTTAACACTTCTCTGTTGGAGATCTTAATAAAATAAATAAATGAATCAGTCTATAAGTATTCTACCCTCCTCCTTATCCTCAATCCTCAGATCCCTAATAAGCTACAAGATCATGGGCGGCGCCTTTTACTTACGACCAGGTAATCCGTCGTTTTCGGCCTTTTGGGGATTGTATTCGGAGATTTGAAGATTGTGGGAGGTGGAAAATAATTGTGCCTCCGGTAATCCCACTTACCCGAAACATTGTTTCAAATTTTAATTAGAAAAAATAAATTGACTGCACGGTTGGTGCGGTGGCTGGGCAACTGGCTGCCGTGCAACGTGTCGCGGGTTGGAATGCCGCACGGAACAACTCTTTGTGTGACCCACAAATTGTTGTTCCGAGTCTGGGTGTCATGTGTATGTGAAATTGTATGTTTGTAACCGCACCCACGACACAGGAGAAAATCCTAGCGTGTGGCAAGGTTATTTAAAAAAAAATCTTTTCAGATTTATCAGTCACATTCTTGTTATAGAAAGTCATTATTTTTTTATTCAATCATATATTTAGACGAAACACACAATAGAAGAGGTCAAAGATCTTTAATTATAATTTGTACGTGACATATTTACAGTACACAGTAATCATTGAATTAAAAACAAAACAGGAAGGACAATGACCCCTGTATTAAGTAGTTCTAGTTTTTTGATAAAGAAAAGTCGATTTTTATATTTTAATCAGGTCGCAAGCAAAAACGGTAAAACAGATTAATGATACATAATAATACAATATGTGAGAAAGCCAAGGTTCGGCACGAATGGGTCGGCTCGATCGGAGTGATACCACGGCCTCGTAGAAAACCGGCGTGAAATAACTAAAGCATTGTGTATCGTCCAGTGAGTGAGATGCCCGGAGAGACCGAATGCCCAATTCTTCCCCTCCACCATTCCTAAATCACAAATAAGCCGCAACGCACTTCCAACTTTTATGGTGTTGCTTCGGCGCCACCCATGAAGACCCTTCATATGATGAACCTTCTCTCTTGATAATGACATGACAAAACATTTTTTTTGGCAAAATCATCATCATCATTATCATCATCATCATCAGCCTATAACTGTCACCTGCTGAGCAAAGGCCTCTTCTGAGACGTGAGCATTAATCACCACGCCTGCTCAATGCGGGTTGGCGATTTAAAACTTATAATTAGAAATTCTAAGTCCAGGTTTCCTCACGATGTTTACTTTTGCCGTATGTCTAAATAATCAAAGAAAGCACATATAACTCGGAAAATGTCATTTTGATACTTGCCAGGTTTAGAACCTGCACCCTCATGCATGAGAAGCGGGCGCTATAACCTCCGGGCCACCATTTTAAAATCGGTCTTGGCGGTTTAGAGATATGCGCTTAACAAAAAATTTTGCGATTTATTCTTGTATTATAGAGATAGAGATAACGGTTTTTATCATTGCAATTGTTAGTAATCAGACTTGCAAAAGGTGGTGTGATAATTATTGATATTATGTCTTGCAGTTGCAATAAAATCTGTTACTTAATAGATTATAAATAACTGTACATACATTTATTATTATGAATTCGAGGGTTCTAGAAACTTCCTATTGAGTTTATATCTGTACACAATATAAAACAAAATCGTTTTCTCTCGTCATCCGTATCGATGCTTAAATACTTATTCAAAACTACGTAACTGATTTCGATGTTTTTTTTAATAGTAAGAGTGATTGAAGAGGATTATATGTTTAATAACATGAATTAAATAATAGAGAAATTTAGTATCAATATGCACCCGTGCGAAGGCGAGGTGGGTAGCTAGTATGAAACAAAGTTAAGAAAAAAGTTATGTTAAAACTAACTACTCCCGCACTGTTCTACCCGTTGGACGGCTTCTATTGGTCGTAGCGTGATGTTTTATAGCTTAGAATCTTCCTCTATAAAATAACTATCTAACACAGAATAATTGCACAATTTAAAGTAGTAGTTCCAAAGATTAACATGAACTCAAACAAACAAACAAAAAAGAATTGCATAATTTGTACCAGTAGTTCCAGAGATTAGTGCTTTCAAACACACAAACGTCTTATAAAAGCTATAGTTATACTAATATTATAAAGCTGCAGAATAGCATACATACCCCGTATCAGCGAGCAGCTGCCGTAGCCGAGCGTGTCCAGCCAGGGTGTGGAGTCTCAGCGCGGGGGCGAAGGCCGGGGCGTGGCACAGCGCGGCCTCTAGTGACCACACGCGGTACAGGGGCAGGTTCACGTCCTTCTCCAGCGTCACTCGGGCACCCTGAAACAAATAAGTTTTTATGGCATAGGTCGTCAACGAGCAGAGCTTTTTTTGTGAAGGAAAAATCATCAAATGACTTCTTCCGCCCAGGGCCGAGCGGCGGGAGGGAGTGTCAGACTCTTACTGACTAAAAACCCCCCTGTTCCTTCTCCTGCTCTAGGCCGAGGTCGCGGTGCGTCATTGCGCTTACCCCGCAAGAACATCAGCCCTATTGGGCCCCGTCTGTGAATGAGCAAAGCTGATGGGAAGTCGGTGCGGCCCATAATGGACATGTAGCGACAGCCCCTTCAAGATTCTACATCGCGGTATAACAAGTTCTTGACGGTACTAGAACTGGTACAAAATCCCGACAACAACCGTAGGGCATTAGTCCACCAGACCAACACCCGTCTGGGCGGAGGATCCTACCTTTTCAATGGAGGATGAGGAATTTTATACCGTGTTCTCTCATTCCTCAAAGACATACTAGCTTTTTGGAAGTAAGGAATTTCAGGATTAAATATAAAAAAAAAGGCCAAGTGCGAGTCGGACTCGCGCACCGAGGGTTCCGTACAAACCTGCAAGTCTAAAAATTTAAGGTTTTTGGAATTTTTCCTTTATGTGTGCTATAAAACGTTGCTTCATGCCAAATTTCAAGATTTTAGGTCGACTGGAAGTACCCTTTAGGTTTTGATTCCCTTGCGAGTACTTGCGAGTTTCAAAATATGCAGCTTAAATTGCTGTTTCTTTTGATTGCGTTGACATAGAAGTTTGATTTTGTTACAGCTTAAAGGTATTATAGACCTGAGTATTTGGTATGAATTTCAATTTAATACCTCTACGCGTTTATGAGGAAATGGGTAGTAAGTTTAAAATTATTAAAAAAATATATACTACTCTGTCAAGAAAGTACCGGGAAAAAGTCAATAATACACAAAATGTTTGTTATTCGTCTAAATTTATTTTATCACCTTCAAAGTATGCTCCTTCAGAAACGATACACTTACGCCAACGAATAATCCAATCATCGAAACTTTTTTTAAACGCTGTTTCCGGAATTGAGTTCAGTGCTCGCCGCGAATTCTCCTTTATGTCTTCTAACGATTGAAAACGGGTGCCACGAAGGGGTAATTTGAGTGTGGGAAAAAGAAAGAAGTCGGCTGGAGCCATATCTGGTGAATATGGTGGCTGCTCGATGGTGTTTGTTGAGTGTTTGGACAAAAAATCGTTTACAACGATGGCCTTGTGCGAAGGCGCATTATCGTGATGCAAAATCCAAGAATTTTCTTTCCACATTTCTGGCCCTTTTCGTCGAATTTTTTCTCTTAAACGCCGCATAACGCTCAAATAATATTCTTTATTTACCGTTTGACCTTCGGGCAAGAATTCTGAGTGCACAACACCGCGATAGTCAAAGAAAACAGTCAACATGACTTTGACTTTTGATCGACTTTGACGTGGTTTTTTCGGTTTTGGTTCAGTTGGAAGGCGCCATTCCGAAGCTTGTTGACTAGTTTGCATGTCAAACTCGTAAACCCACGTCTCGTCACTAGTAACAATGCGTTTCATGAATGTTGGGTCGGTATTGACTCGTTCTAGCATGTCCTCAGCGACTTTCATGCGATTTAGTTTTTGAAGAAAATTCAGGTCTTTTGGGACTAGCCGAGCGGCAACACGTTTCATACCCAAATTATTTGTTAAAATGGTACGGATCGACTCTTGAGATACAGAAAGTTCGGCGGCCATCTCTCTCAAACTTGAATGAGGATTTTCAGTCACTATTTCCTTCACTTTTGCGATGTTAACTTCAGTTGCAGACGTTGATGGCCTACCAGAACGAGGCAAATCTTCCATCACATCTCGACCGCTTTTGAACGCTTTGTACCACTCGTAAGCACGTGTTTTTGATAAAGTCGATTCACCGTAAGCCTTCTGTAACATTTTGAGTGCCTCCAAACACGAAATTTCATTGGCGATGCAAAATTTAAGACAAACGATTAGTTTTAGTTTTAGTTCGATGTTTTTGTCCATTATGAAATTCGCAATACACACTAGATATTATAAAAAAAACTACGTTTAAAAAAACCGACTTCAAAAACAAAAAAGTGTCAAATAAGTAATTAAAATTGATATTTTAATACCACTCTTACGTACGCGAAGCTAATACTTTTAATATTAATAATAAAACACTATCAATTCTATGTGCTACCTATTCATAGATTTGAAGTCGGTGCCAAGCCTAATACATAATATAATAAGCATGATTACATGAGTACCTACACTCGCCGGGCGCGTGTGAATTTATTTGTTAGGATTTAAGAAATGTAGTACCGATTTTCTAACTTGATGGCGTAAGCGTAGAATCAGAAGTCTATGGTTGCGTTACCGGCGAAACTGTATATAGCTTAGAAAGATATTTGGATGAATTATGAAAGTTTTCTCGTACTTGGTTGTTAAAAGTAGTAGTAGATAGCTGCGTTGTTAGTTGTGGAAATTTCGTCTTTCAGCAATTAAACAGTCTTAATTCTCATTTAGTTTTATTCTGTTTAGGGCTTGGCACCGACTTCAAATCTATGAATAGGTAGCACATAGAATTGATAGTGTTTTATTATTAATATTAAAAGTATTAGCTTTGCGTACGTAAGAGTGGTATTAAAATATCAATTTAAATTACTTATTTGACACTTTTTTGTTTTTGAAGTCGGTTTTTTTAAACGTAGTTTTTTTTATTTTTTACTTTTTAGTATCTATTACAAGTTCTTCTGTAAACTACAGTAACATGTTAAATATAAATTAACATATTGAATAGTAGGTATATATTTTTTAAGTAGCTTTGTGTACCTAGGCCAACGAAAGGAGCCGCTCGTTAAAAAAATAGATCTCAAGAAATGGGAAAGTTCTCATCATCATCATCATCATCATCAGCCATTTTAATGTTCCCACTACTGGAACACAGGCCATCTCTCTAGGAAAGTTCTTAACAAAGTCCAAACACGAGGTAGCTACTGTAAACCGTTGAGGAGTTCCGTAGACTGTCCTTCGTCTTCATCATCAGATCCCTGATGACAGTCACAATCCATCTAGATGTAAAGTTCTTATCAAAACGAATTAATTAAGCTCAAACACAAGGAAGCTGCCATGAATCGTTGAGGAGTCCTCTCGACTGTCTCTCGGTTCCATCCGGAATTCCCTCGTCGGTCAATAGTCTCCATCATCAGGTAAACTGCAGACCTTCACTTGTTATAATACATACAGGTACAAAGTTTTCATCAATATAAATGAATTAAGTTCAAATACGAAGCAGTTACTGAAAACCGTTCAGGAGTTCCTTGAGCTGTCCTTCGTTCTCATCATCAGACCCTTAATGACAGTTACAACCAAGCCTGCTGCAAAGTGCTCGTCAATACGAATCATTCAAGCCCAAACACAAGGCAACTACTTCAAATAGTCAAGGAGATCCCTCGACTGTCTTCCAGCTCCAACATCTGGTCGACTTCGACCTTCGTCAAGTTGTAGTGTTGATAAAGGCCTACTTAAACATCATACAAAAACACTACTCGCCCCTACAATTTTCGAAAGTTCCCCTCGGTTTCTCCAGGATTCCATCATCAGATCCTGACCTCATGACAATGGGACCAAATGGCAAGTATACCCTATCGAATAAAAAAAGAATTTTGCAAATCGGTCCAGGCGTATTCGAGTAATCGGTGTACATACATAAAAAAAAAAAATACGCGTCGAATTGAGAACCTCCTCCTTTTTTGAAGTCGGTTAAAAACTAAAAACAGCACTGTTTTTAATATAAATAACAGATGCAACTCAAATTCCGCGCCAAAATGGAAAACAGTTGCCAATCTAACAACAACAAAAAAAATAAAATTCTAATTTGGAACCATAAAAAAAACATTCATTCCCGATACTTAGTTGACTGAATGTATTATGTGATGGAACTAAAAATTTATGGTTTTCGTAATTTTTCCTTTATCTATGCTATAAGACGTTGCTTCGTACCAAATTTCAAGATTCTGAGTTGACGGGAAGCATCCTGTAGGTTTTGATTTCCTTGCAAGTGTCGAAAATTTGCGGCATAAACGGCTGTATCTTTTGATTGCGTTGGCTTAGAAGTTTGATTTTTTTTCAGCTTCAAGGGACAGTAGATCTGAGTAATTGATATAAATTTCATACCTCCACGCGTTCCTGAGAAAAAGGGTCTTGACAGACGGACGGACGGACAGACGGACAACAAAGTGATCCTATAAGGGTTCCGTTTTTTCCTTTTGAGATACGGAACCCTAAAAATGAATAGAAGTTTTGCGAAAATCGCTTACTTGTTGGAAAGACCATATTTTCGTGTGGGTCGATGGTGAAAAGATGTGGTAGGAATCAAACTGAACAATTCCTCAGAACACTCGCAATGGTATATGCGATAGAGTCCATATAGCAAGGCCACACTCTAGGGAAAAAGTGACATTGGTACTTGCCAGGTTTTGAACGCGCACCGTCATGCATGAGAAGCGACGTTCATAAAAAAAAATCGTAAAGTTAGTAATTGTGTGAAGTGGCGGTATACGTACGTATTTGTCGTGTTGGTGCGGCGCCCTGGTGTGGAGATGGTGGTGGTCGAGCAGCGCCTGCGCGGGGTCCCGGCCGGCCGCCGCGCCCGCCGCCGCCGCCACGCCGCCCGCCCACACGCCGCCCCACCACACGCGCGACGCAACCCACGCCAGCTCCACCGCCACACATGCGCTCTGCATACACACTTACCCACTTAATAAGGAACTTCTTGCTAAGTCTTCTTAAAGAGAAGAGAAACTGTTTATGGATTCACATTGCAAATCTTTGTCGCATTTGTTCACGTTGAGGACATAAAAACTCAAAACATAGTTTACACTAGCGGTTTTTATTTTTATATTATCCACGTTTCCTACTCCGTCAATGATTGAAGGCACGCTTCTCCAAGCGTTCATTGACGGTATTCGGGACCCCGAAGTACGAGCTGCTGTTCATCTGGGCCATCACAAGAACATGAAAGAAGCTCTGGCCCATGCATTGGAAGTGGAAGCCGTACGTGGCAACTCCCGTACCTTATGTCTGCGGGAAATGACGACAACGGAGCAGGTACCTCCACGCCGTCGGAACTTTATGTGCTATGGATGTGGAGATCGTGGGCACATACGGAGCGACTGCCCGAAGAAGATGAACCGCCAGGACGCGGCGGTCTCAACTTCTGACCAGCAGGGAAACTTAAATCCAGCCAGGGCTGCGGGGTGGGCGCTGGCTGGTAGTGGAACAACCCCAACAATCTACATCAAGCAAACCAACGATGGAAATACTCTGGTAATAGACGGTCAAGTAAATGGGAAAAACAGTCAGCTAACATTAGATACTGGAGCTTCAAGGACGGTGATAAATGTTCGGCTGCTCGAGCAAAATATCAGGAAACACCTTAAACCAATTGTTGGCCTACAAATGAAATCAGCTAACGGCCAGTGCATACCGATAAGTGGAAAACTGCATGTAACAATCAAAATTGGGGAACGTGTTTATCGACATGAGGTTATTGTGGCCAAAATTCTGGATGACTGCATCCTGGGACTTGACTTCCTGCAAGGGCACCAGTGTAACATCGACTTAAAATCTGGAGTTTTACTATGTGGAACTGAGGAAATTCCGATGAAGGGTGGAACCCTGGGAAAAGTTTGCTGTTTAAGAAGAACTGTTCTTGCACCAAAATCACAGACTCTCGTACCAATCGCATTACCTAGGAGGAAGGAAGGAAGTTTACCTCGAAGGTGCGCTGTGATTGATAAATCGGAACACGTAAGCTCATGGCTACCGGCAAGAACTGTCGTGGGGTCATCTGATGTCTGTCTTTGAGGAGTGGCTTGAGAGACGCCACGGCGTCCTCACCTTCCGTCTGACGCAGGTGCTTACCGGGCACGGCAGCTTCGGTAGGTTCCTGTTTCGGATTCAGCGGGAGGAAACGCCCGAGTGTCGTCATTGTGAGGACCACCTAGAGGATACGGTGGAGCATACGGTAGCGGTATGCCCTGCCTGGGTTGAGCACCGCCGTATCCTCAGGGAAGTGATCGGCGGCGGCGACCTCTCGCGCCCGGCCTTAGTCGAGGCCATGGTGCGGAGTGAGAGGAACTGGGACGCCGTCTCCTCCTTTTGTGAAGCGGTCATGCTCGCAAAGAGAGAGGCGGCCCGCGTGAGGGAGCAATCCTCCTCCTCACGCCCCAGCAGCCGCAACTGGCGACACTACGGGCGTCGGGGATCGAGGGACGATCTCCGGCCACCGTAAGCACGGGCCTGCGGTCGGCGAGTAAGGGCAGCTCGCCGCCCGACCAGAACCAGGCCCGAGCGTACGGCGCGTAGCGTTCCGCGCGCGCCTCAAAGAGCCATTCGACCACCACAGACGGGGCCCTAAAGGGCTGATGTTCAAAGTCAAAAATCATTTATTCCAATTAGACCTTTACAGGCACTTTTGAACGTCAAACAAAATATAAAATAAAAAAATAGTGTCAGTCTGTCGGTCAGTCCTCTTAGTGAAGCTATTTGCTCGTTCCAAAGTGTAGATTCCGATGGAGAAGAACGAGCAAGAAACTCCATGGTTACTCTTTTTAAATCAGTTTCACATACAGATTCCTTTTACAAACAGTTGGTTCAATTATGTGAGAACAGTGTAACACTAATATTTATTCAAATATAAAAATAAAGTAACCTTAAGGACAATAGACAGTCTGGAGCTGACCAGTCCCAACTGACGGCGCTCGTTCACGAGCATGACACGTACACCAGCATCGCCCAACTCAACCATATTATAGGGAATTAAGCGATCCAGTGCCCATGCCACCGCCAGTGTGACCTTTCAGTGAGCATGACAACTCCAAGCTGTTATAAGGACCGACATTCTGCTAGTCTAACCAATTATAATAGGTTACAGGGCACTCACATTTACAAATTTATCAAGTTATAGTTATACAATATAATGCAATTTCACTAAAATGAAGAAGTCCCGTTCAAGCAAAATCCATTGGAACGTTATTTATTTTGGTGTACGTTTGCTATCCTGTGGAGCAGGACCAGCATGTCTCCAAGCATCTTTATTTATTTATTTATTTATTTGAGACTTCATGCACAAAACATTGTACATAGGCGGACTTAATGCAATGAGCATTCTCTACCAGTCTACCTTTGGGTGATGCAGAGATAATCTAGTGGCAGGTGCAGAAGCAAGGAAATTCAATTAAATATACCAAACATATATATAAAAATATATATACACACTTTACATACATACATACTATATATATACATTATAATACATATTTATAAGGCAGTAAAAATATATATATATATATATATATATAAACAATACATAAATAAAATATATAAGTATATATATATATACGTATATGCAGTCATAGTCACGATGATTCCCCCAACCTCTTCAAAAGAAGCTCCCGAACTCTCTGCTTGAAAGACAGCCGACTAGTCAAGATCCTGATATCGGGGGGTAGCGCATTCCACAGAAGAATAGCCTGAACGAAAAATGAGGAATGGAGAAATTTTGAGTGATGAGTTGGACAGTTGAGGAGACGATTATTAGAAGAGCGAAGGTATTTATTGTGGTTTGCGCATGTGTATTGGAAGTAAGAGGACATATAGCTAGGTGGGCAAGTTGAGTTAAGAAAGGAAAATAAAGTGGTTAGCGCCCTTTGCTCCCTACGCTGGCGTATGGGCAACCACTTCAATTGCAACCGATGTGCAGAAACATGATCATATTTGCGTAGGTTGAAAACGAAACGAATGCAGTTATTCAGAAGTCGGTCGAGTTTATTGAGGAGATCTGCATTCAGGTCATAGTAACAAACATCAGCATAATCTATAATAGGGAACAACAAGGCCTGTACAAGCATCGTCTTGGTGACGGGCGGAAGCAAGTTTTTCACGCGGTAAAGGGCCCGCAGCGACCCGGTTACTTTTTTGCACACGTTAGTTACTTGTGTATGCCAGTTTAAACTCCTGTCAATATGTAAGCCTAGGTCTTTAACATTATCGCTGTAAGGAACGATCGCACCATCGAAAAGAACGGCTGGCAGAGATGCACTGTCAATCTTACCTAGCGATCGAGAGCTTCCGATGATGATAGCCTGGCATTTATTCGGGTTTACCGCAATGCCAAACCGAGCTGACCAGGCACTAATGATGGCTAAGTCATCATTAATTTTTGCGATACCATCGGCCAAGCAGTCTACGCCAGCCCGACAGTACAGCTGCAAGTCGTCTGCATACAGATGGTACGCACACCGAAGGTCAGAAGTGATGAGATTAATAAAAATGGAAAACAAGAGTGGTGATAATATGCCGCCTTGAGGAACGCCAGCTTTTAATTGGCACCAGCCTGATGATATATCACCGTGCTTGACCGACTGCTGACGCTCCTGAAGATAAGAAGAAAACCATGCCAGTGACCCACCAGAGATCGCAAGATGGGATAGGATGGCTAAAAGGATATCGTGACTGACCATATTGAAGGCATTTGAGAAGTCAACCAAAACCAGGACTGTGGCTTTAGCGTCCTCAAGGCCAACTCTAATATCGCCAGTCACTTTAAGGAGGGCGGAAACAGTGCTGTGGCCTGGTCTGAAGCCCGATTGGAATGGACTGACAAGTGAATTCCTGTAAATGAAATTAGATAGTTGTTTGTGGACACAGGCCTCAAGCACCTTGGAGAGGAAAGGAAGTATGGATATAGGACGGAACTGACTGGGAAGAGTGGGAGTAGAGACTTTGGGAAGTGGGCGGACAAAGGCTTTACGCCAAAGGGATGGGAAAGATCCGGAATACAGGGAAAAATTGATAATATGGGTTATAGCCGGTAGGAGGTGATCTAGAACAGTTATAATCATGTTACGAGAAATGTTATCACATCCTACCGCTTTTGATTTAATTGAAAGGATAATCCTACCAATCTCTGCCGAATCAACTGGAATGAAGTGGAAAGGAGTGGCAATGTTGGGACGTGCAAGACCAGAGATGAACCTTATAGTGTCTTGTTTCACTAGACGATCTATGGTAGGTACTGTAGAGAAATGATGATTTAGATCGTCTAAGCGAATTGAGTTGGGTAGTTCTATATGGTGCGTTTTGCCGATACCTAAAGTCCCAAGAAATTTCCAGATATCGGCAGAAGAAGCAGAAGAGATGTTTTCGAGAACGTGGCGGCGTTTAGCGTTACGTACCATCTGGTTACAGCGATTTCTTGCTAGCTTAAAAGCTGCCCAGCTTTCATCGGTGCGATCCCTCCTGTGTTTGCGGAAAGCGCGGTCCCTACGTCGCATAGCCATTTTAATACCACGAGTCATCCAAGGCGCAGGCAGTCGTTTCATTCTTATCCGCCTAATGGGAGCATGTCGGTCATAAAGGCTAATTACTGTGGCGTTAAAAATCTCAACCTTTTCGTCGACTGAGGTGGCTTCCATTAGGGGATCCCAGTCGATGGATGACGCGTCTTCCTGCAATCTTGCTCCGTCCATCCGCGCAAAACAACGCCTATACAAGACCGTAGGCCTCACTTTGGGTGGCTTTAGGATATAGGATAGGAAAACCATGTCATGGTGAGAAAAACCCGGAGCATCACGCTGACCATGGCAGGATACAAGAGAGAGATTGGAAGTAAGGATAAGGTCAAGCCAGGAGTCGTCGCCTGCAGTGTTGTGGTGAGTGGGATTGAGCGGTAACA